TCACACGTCGTCGACTGGATCGACTCACAACTCCGCAGTCTGGACCGTGTCGAAGCCTACAGCCAAGTATTTAAGACAGATGAAAGCATCAACGCCACGTAGGAACGTGTAAGGCATCCTGAGGGCCTCCCCGCTGGCTGATGGCAAGGTATGCTGCCACTCTGTTGTTTAAATTATCTTATATGTACTGAAAAGCACATTCTGTAGGAAGCAATTGTGCTTGTCACACACTACCGTAATATCGGTACAGATAGCGGTGAGAACTCCGGGTTATCGTTGGGACTGGCCTTGTTAAAGTACCTTTCAAGGGCGAAATGGCTGGCTAAAGACGTGATTCTTCTCGCTGCAGACGGTAAATAACTTAATTTTTTTTTCCTAATATGCTGAGTTTCTTATGCCTACTTTATTGTGTTGACTTGTAGATGGAGTTTTAGATGGAAGTGACGGGTATGCTTCTGGTAAAGAAGCCTGGTTGCAAGCGTACCATCTAGATCCAGTAGACAGCGGCTTACAGGGTGTTCTACCTATGAGAGCTGGTGTCATCCGTGCCGCAGTCAACCTGGAGACGCTGTACAACTCACGTCACGTGGATTCGGTCGGGATTTACACGGCGGGGACGAATGGCCAGCTGCCAAACTTGGATCTTGTCAACACAGCCGTGCGCGCGTTCCGTCAGCACCAGATTCCTACGATTCTGGATCGTGCTGATGTCCAGGAAGACGGCGAACATAAGAGCTATGTTTCAAGAGTTCTAGGGTCCATCTCGAGCTTGAACGAGCAGTATACACCGCCGGAGCTCAAGGAAAAGGCTCGAAACTACCTGACGAACCTCAAGGGAATGCTGCACTTTATGACGACGTTGGCGGCGGGGCCTTCGGGCCCTCACGCCAACTTTATCAGCTACAATATCGACAGTATCACGCTGTCGCTTACAAAGAGTCAAACCTCAGTTGGACGTCCACTGGCCTCGCGTGATATACTACGGTCGATTGAGATGGTGGTTCGAGCACTCAGCAATCTGGAAGAGAAGCTGCATCAGTCGTTTTTCCTCTATGTTCTACCCAGCACGTCGACTTTTGTGTCAGTGGGTGAGTACATTTACGCCGTGCTTCTGGTAATCTCGCCGGCGATCGCGCATTTGCTCTTCTTGGCGAATCAAACTACTGGGATGCGTGTTGCG